AAGTCCACAAGTCTTAAAGTTGCCAAGGTTGGACACCCCTGGTCTAGTCAGAGTTCAGTTTTTTGTTTTCTGATATCCAATAGACAGAATCTTGCCAGAATAAACCAATACTATTCTCACCCTAATGGATATATATCTTGAGAGATCTTGACTCTGTTCCAATCCAGTTCCAGGCTGTGCTGCTTCTGCCCCTTCTTCTTGGAATGTGCTTCCCCCTCCTTCTTGAGAACCTACCATTTCACTACAGTCCATCACACCAGATTTTCTCTGCGGGCATCCTCCTTCACCTGATTATACAGCGTGTAACTGACTCTGATATCAACCAAGGATTCTCAAAATTAATCAAGGGTATTAAAAACGGACAGATTCAGCTTACACGGAGAGGTTCTTGCTGTGGTTGGTTAGGATGAGAATAACGTGGATTATCCCTCCAAGCAAACTGGGCAAGCCGAAAGTGTAAAGAACTCCACAAGTATCATGGATTTGGAGTGCTGGATCCAAGAGTTTCTGAGTTTGATAGGAAGAGGAATGTAGGAAAGGCAACACACAATAAGGTTTTTAACTTAGAAGTTACAACAATCAATGTTTATTTATAAACATAGCCTACCCTCATATTAATTTTCTAGCAGTCCCAAAGCAGGGCTTTAAATAGAAAAGTCTGCATGCCACTTTTCATAGAAATGTGGAACGCAGAGGCCTTGGCCACGTGGACTGTGTGAGCATCTTCATAACTATGGAAAAGACTAGCACATATCTGAAAAATTTCTTCCAGAAAGCCAAAATTCTAAAGCATCCCAGTTGCTTGTTCCATAACTAGCAATGAAAAGGTTTAAAATAGGGAGGGTTACCTGTAAATAGGCCATGCCAAGGACAGAAATTGTGCCTGCCGCCAGACCCAAAACCATTGCAATCCAAGGCTGTTGGATGTTGGAAGCAGAGAAGCCAAGGGCAACCCCACCTGCCAGTGTAGCATTCTGGATATGAGCCTGAAAGGAGGAGGAGGAGAAGGAGAAGGAGAAGGAGGAGAAGAAATCAGAGCCTGGGTTTCAGCTGAGTGGCCGCTTTCTGTTCATGAAAGGCAAAATAGCCTTGCAGTATCTTGGACCAGGATTTTATTTATGTACTTGCGACATCTCTTGCCTTTCAAGAAGTCAGAGTTGTACATATGGAATCTCCCTCCCTTTATGGGAGGAGTGTAGACTATGGGAATGGGGAAGGAATGACCAGAGTTAATGGGGGGGAAGGGCTTTGAGAAAAGATAACACAGTCCTGAGAAAGAGGAAAGGATGAGAAAAACTCTAAATAATCCCAACCTAATTATCTAGCCTCACTCATTCTAAATCACAGGTTCTCAACCTTAACAATGCTAAGGTATGTGGACTCCAACTCCCAGAATTCCTCAGTCAGCATGTATGGCTAGGGAATTCTGGGAGTTGAAGTCCACATAGCTTAAAGTTGCTGAAGTTGAGAAATGCTGTTCTACACCAGTGTTGTGCAACTTGATCCTCTCCCAGACCCACTGGGTGGCAACTTCTTGCCTTAACATCTGGAAGGTGACAGGATCAAGAATATTGCTCTTCCGGCTGAAAAAACAGGTGCTTCTGTCTCACCATGCTGAGTTTTCCATTTTTGCTGGTTGCCATTGAGAAAGAAAAAGCGGCAATGGTGCTCGTGGCCATGACAAAGTAGGTGTTGTAGACGGCAGTCCCTTTTTTGTCTTCTTCCGTGATCAGGACAGAATTGAAGCTGGGCCAGAAGACCCAGAGAAAGAGGGTACCTGGTAAACCACAAGAGGGGAAAATGGTTAAACTCTCAAACCCAACCGAGCTCCAGTTTTCAGCATTATGGGAGGAGAGCCATTGCTAGTCTATAGCAGTAAGTCTGGAAATACTTTCTTCGACAAATAATAAGTTTTTGTGAGCTGCAGCCTCTTAATCAAAGTTGTTAGATGACAAAGGTCCTATCACTGCTTCCAGTTTCCAGCTGTCTCTTTCATCCAGATGACCTCACTAGCAGGGGGTTGGACTAGAACAGAGGTCTCCAACCTTGGCAACTTTAAGACTTGTGGACTTCAATTCCCTCTGGGAGTTGAAGCAGGGGTGGGATTCTACCAGTTCGCACCTATTTGCTAGAACCAGTTCTAAGCAGTTTGGAGAACCGGATGTTAGAAGAAATTACCGGCCTAATCCTGTAAGGAAGGCAGGAAGGAAACATTCTGGTGTTGCTTACAGAAACTGCCTCTCCGTTAACCCTTATTACATTCTTGGCAGGACTTCCTGTCTCTGGAACTTCTCTGGAGTTTTTTTCCCCTCCTTTGCTGGTACTTTGCTTGTGTAGAGTAACCATTCAAAGTTACAGTTGCACTGAAAAAAGTGACATAATCATTTTTCACACTTACAACTGTTGCAGCATCCCCACAGTCATGAGACGCCAGGCGAGGAGATGTGTGCCTCGATGTGAGTGATATTGAGTTGGCCACGCCCACCAACTAAGCCACGCCCACAGAACCGGTTGTTAAACAATTTGAATCCCACCCCTGAGTTGAAGTCCACAAGTCTTAAAGTTGCCAAGGTTGGAGACCCTTGGAGTAGAAGACTTCCAAGGTCCCTTCCAACTGTTATTCTGATAAGGCCTTGCATTATGCACCCTGCCTGTGGAGAATGCTAAAGCCAAGCAGATGTATCTTCTCAAACAAATCAAACCAATGTTTACCATGTGCCATTCCTTGCAACTTCTCCAAAGACACAGACTTAAAGGGAGTGTCTGATTTGATAAGGAATGGAGTCCATATAGTCCAGAAATATGTAACTTTATAAAGCCTGTGGCTTGCTTCTGCTTATCATAGCACTTCTCTCTAGCAATTTTCCCTGTATATCTGGAATACCATGAGCAAACTACCAGGGTTAAAGCTTGACAGTTTTGAATAAGCCAGTGGAACTGCTTGCCACCAGAAGTTGTGGGTGCTCCATCCCTGGAGGTGTATACATATGGAAGATGGCTTGTTGTTTATGCCTTCCAGCTCTATTCTTGATTGATTGATTGAATTGTAGAAGGCTACAGGTGTAATGGGATGTTGGGAAGGATGGATTCCCAAGAGGGAGAGGCTGCATTCCAGAGGAACAAGAGACAGCAAAGGTTAGATAGCTTGGTTGGGAGGAAGAGGGTCAAGACAGCTCCTTCCTCAAGTTTCTCAGAGTATATCTTTAATGATGCAATTAGTTTGCTTTAGCTTAGCAAGATTTCTACCTATGGGTGAGGAACAATAAAGGAAACAGCTCAGAAGAAATTCAGTGACTTTCTTGGTTTTTGGAGCCTGACATCAGGTCCACTAGATGGCAGCAAAGATTTAAGTTTTCCTGTGTGTCTTTACTGCCATCTAATGGACACCTGGATGTTTTGCAGCCCAGATCTGGAAGTGCTAGTATTATTGTCCCATGTTTGGGTACTTCTCTTTTTTAAAAATCTATGCTGAACACCTGATCTATCAGTCAGAGTAAGTGGCAGAATTCAAGGAGCTTTGTAACCCAATCTCCCTTTGCAATGTTGTTTGAAGAGAAATAACAGGTGCAAGTGGCTTATAATTTATGACGGACATGGAGGATTGACTGTGTTGTTAAGCCTGGAATTTACCCTGGCAAAGACTGGGCTGTTCTATCATCTATCCTTCTATCAACCAGGGATCAGAATAAGTATTTCAAAAGATGCCTCTGGAAAATGCTAATACCAATATTTTATATTGAAATTTATCCTCTTTTCACCTGTTCCTCTACCTTAATAAGTAGATTTGCACATCTTGGTTATTCCTCTACATTTTGGACCTCCAGGTTCCATGAGACCTTATCTGTTTGTTCCCAAGGGAAGGGAAGCAGACTGGAGAGATTCTAGTAATATAGGTAGAACGCAATGGATCTGGTTGCTTGCACCCCCACAAAAAAGGTGACATTATTATATACCACTCTACACCAACCCAAACCACCCATTTGGCAAGCTTAATATATAAATCCACTCCTTGACTTGAAGTAACTTTTGACTTAAATTAACCCCTGTATGTCAACAGGTAATTCTCTCACTTACCAACCATTCATTCAGCAACCATTTTAAGTTGCAACAGCACTGAATGAGTGGTACTTACAACCAGTTTTTGAAGTTCCAACTGTTGCAACACCTCTGTAAGATTGGATAACCATTTGTCTGAAATGCTGTAGGGTTTCCTGCCCGGGTTGGACTAGACGATCTCCAAGGTTCCTTCCAACCCTGTTACTCTGTTCTGTTCTCTCCATTCCATTCTCTCCCCTCCTCCCCTCTCCTTCTATTCTATTCTATTCTATTCTATTCTATTCTATTCTATTCTATTCTATTCTATTCTATTCTATTCTATTCTAGGGTGATTGCAATTTGCCAGCTTCCCTACCAGCTTCCCACAAGCGAAGTCCATGGGGAAGCTTGCAGGAAAGGTGGCAGGTCGCTCTGATCAGTCTCCCAATCAGCCTCCTTGTGCTCATGCATGACCTGTGCCGATCCTGCCCACGGCTTTCCCCACACCCTCTGCGGCACCCCTGCACTCCTTAACACAGAACTCCTGCCACTTGCTGCTTAAGAACCGGCCTGTCTTGGGGTTATGATGTCACTTTGGAAGCGCTGCAATGGCTGTTGCTAAGTGATGCAGTCAACGAGATGTTGCATTTTAATGACCACATCGCTTAGCGATAGGAATCCTGCTCTCCATTGCCACTGTAACCCAAAGACTACTCTAAATATTAACCCAAATTTTAGACAAAGAGCATCTCCCTGGATTCCTAATGTTTATTGTTAGTTTTCAAGAAGAGACATTTTCAGTCAACCCTGGGAGGCTGATAAGCTGCACGCAAGATCCAGGCACCAGTTGGATGGGTGTTCCCTTTCCTAGACCTTCTAGGAAGAAGGAAGCCTGTTTATCTCTCGCTGAGCAGAAAGCAATGCCTCAGAGCTCTTTCTAAGATAGCTTGCTCAGAGCAGAGTCATAATCCTCCCCAGACAGGGTTCCCTGCCAAAATGTAAATAAATATCAACAGACTGTTTTACAGCTCCATCAGCATTCCCTTTCATGATCTGTCCATGTATCTGTAACTGTACTTGCAGGAGATGCTAATCCTTAATTAAAGGAATCACGGACCAGGGTATCTGCAGAGTATGCTCAGAAAGATCAGGATGACAACCACAACGGTCTGATCAAAGCTCCGTGCATAAAAACAGGCAGAAATTGGATTGCACTGTTGTGGTTAGTTGTTTTAACTTTTTCTGCCCATGCCCCGCAGACATCCTTGATGGATTTAGCCTCAGTGCTAGGCCAGTTCAGAAGTTCTTTTATACTTGCTAAATTAGCTAAATCAATACTGTGTGATTGCTTCACCGGGGAGCTTTTTCATTGGCCAGACCGAATGCTCTGCCTTCTGCATTATTGGAAGGGAGAATCCATAGCAGAGCAGTGGAAGAGGATTGACTGAAAGAATGTGAGACGTTCAGTCTGGAGAAAAGACAATTGTTTTGCTGGAAGAAATATCCAGGTCCAGTTCCAAGCCGGGAAAAAGGCACCGGAGACAAAATGGAGGCTGATCGGAAAAATGGTGAAGCAGAACCATATGGATGGTCCTGAGCAGCTGACCACATGGGAGTTGATACTGAGGGGTTTTTATACCTTCTCTTGGGCTTTGAGCTTGAGTTTCCTGTTCCTGCTCAAGAACATGTATTCCAAGGCTCTTCAAACTTGGCAAGTTTAAGACTTGTGGACTTCAACTCCCAGAATTCCTGAGCTAACATGACTGGAGGAGGAGGGATTCTGGGAGTTGAAGTCCACAAGTCTTAAAGCTGTCAAGTTTGAAAACGCCTGATGTATTCTATTGGCTGTTTTAGGGGTCATAGCTGGCTCTGTAGGTTGTCTCCCAGGTTTGGTTGAAGTTTTCTGGGGGTGGTGCAACTGAGATGATGCAATGAAGGAGCTTGTGTTCTGAAAGGAGATTTTTTTTAGAAGCGGTTAGACAGCCACCTTTCAAAAACCTTGGTTTTCTCACCCTTGCAGATCATCTCCTCCAATTCTACAGTTCTGTAATGACCAAATTTGTGCCTCTCTTCATTTTTTAATCATGCCTACGTGAGACCCATCTGAAATAACAAATACAGGTAGTCCTTGAGTTACAACCACAACTGGGACCAGAATTTCCAGTGCTAAGGAAGGGATTATTAAGTGAGCCATGCCCAGTTTTACTATTTTGCCGTGTTGTTAAGCAAATCACAGGAGCTGTTAAAACTGAATCAGGCAACTGTGAACTGAATCCAGATTCCCCTGTTGACTTTGCTTGATGAAAATCAGCTGGGAAAAATCACAAACGGTGATCACATGACCCTAGGACATTGTCATTGTAAATCATGCTGGTTGCCAAGATCCCAGATGTTGATCACGTGGCTGTAGGGATGCTGCAGTGGTTGCAAGTGCCAGGGTTGGTCATAAGTCATTTTAGGGGACTGGATTAGAGGATTGGAGGCTAAAACATATAAAGAACAGTTGCTGGAACTGGTGTCTAGTCTGGTGAAAAGAAGGACTGCGGTGACATGATAGTTCCAATATCTCAGGGGCTGCCCCAAAGAAGAGGAAGTCAAGCTATTCTCCAAAGCACCTGAGGGCAGGACAAGAAACAATGGGGGGAAACTAATCCAGGAGAGAAGCAACCTAGAACTAAGGAGAAATTTCTTGACCATTAGAACAATTAATCAGTGGAACAATTTGCCTCCAGAAGTTGTGAATGCTCCAACACTGGAAGTTTTTAAGAAAGATTGGATAACCATTTGACTGAAGTGGTGTAGGGTTTCCTGCCTAAGCAGGAGGTTGGACTAGAAGACCTCCAAGGTCCCTTCCAACTCTGTTACTCCTATTCTATTCTATTCTATTCTTCAATGTTTTCCAATGTTGTTGGAAATTTGAATGGTTGTTAAATGAATGATAGTTAAGTCGACAGCTACTTGTACACTATTTTGCAGCATGCCCCTTCCCTATTATTCTTATATTTCCTTTTTAAGTCAGGATAATGATCGGAGAGTGGTCCTTAGTTTTTTGCAAGCACCTGGGTTTCCACCAACAGCCTCTTGACGATCCAAGCGCCAGGGCAATCTCAATTCTGAGAAGTGGCCCTGAATCCAGATTGGAAGAGATCTAATGTCCTCCACAAAAGGAGGAACTGAGTCACCATCACTATCAATACACCTCTCTGTGTTAGCAGCTAAATTGCCAGAGTCATGCTGAAATAAGAGACAAAAGTCAAATGCCAACTGCTGAGCAATATGTCCTACGCTGGATGCCATACGGCTGGCCAACACAGGAACCTCCTAATTTGGTGGGCATGCGTTCGTTTCAGCCCCAGGAAGGACGCAATTTGACCTTTTATCTTGCCTAAAGCAGACTGCTTACCCAGCACCGCAAACATATCCGAGATGGGCCTGGATCTTTCCTTCTCAGCTTTCCGACTCAATGAGGAGTGGTAGAGCGTCCAGGAGACCATCAGGCCAAAGTAGGCCCCAAACAAGTGGACGTGCATCACACTGACGTGGCTCTCGATCTGTGGACAGCAAAAGCAGTCGCCATTGCCTATGTAGTCAAGATGGAGGGTGGGTTTCTATGTGCCAGCCTGTAGTGACTGAATATAAGGCAGGAAACCTCTGACGGGGTGATTAATCTTTCTTTTTTGGAATTGCTCCCCTGGGCATGTTAAATTAATACTCTGCTACAGTGTTTTTGAACCTCAGCAGTTTTAAACAGTATGGACTTCGACTCCCAGAATTCCCCAGCCAGCCATGCTGGCTGGGGAATTCTGGGAGTGGAAGTCCACAGGGCTTAAAGCTGCTGGGTTTAACAAACACAATAACTAAGTCATCAATTACAGATTCTAGTCCACCCTGGCTGGCTCCTTTAACATGTTAAATCACACCCAGAGCATTTTTTCTTAAATAGTGAAAGATCCCTGTGCTTATGACTTCGGGGTTGTTGTTTTTTTGGGTGGGGGGAGGGGGGAAAGAAGCTGAAAACATTCCATATCTATAATAAAATGTGATCGTGTGAAAGCTCCAGCTATTTTGTAGATACTTGTATGAGACTGATGTGTAGAATAATTTGTATAATAATGATGACACAATACTGTTAAAGTCAAGATTAATGTGTGTTAAAGTTTGAAAAAGAACAATAAATATAAATATATATAAAAAGAAAGCTCCAGCTAGCCAGCCAATCAGTCCCTCCCACATCCAGGATATGCCTTCCTTCTGCCCTTTCCAAAAATATGTAAGCGTTGAAAGGTAAAAGTAAATTTCATCTACAATTCCACTATTCCTGCCCTCTTATCATAAACTGCAGCTCACAGCTTACAAATTACAATACAGGCAGTCCTCGACTTACAACAGTTCATTTATTGTCCGTTCCAAGTTACAACAGCACTGAAAAAAGTGACTTACAACCATTTTTCACGCTTATGACCATTGCGGCATCTCCATGGTCATACATTTTACATTCGGATGCTTGACAACCGAGTCACATTTATGATGGCTGCAGTGTCCTGGGGTCACATGATCCCCTTTTGTGACCTTCAGACAAGCAAAGTTAATGGGGAAACCAGATTCACTTACCAATCAGGTTACCAATTGAAGACCTGCAGAGATTCACTTAACAAATGTGGTGAGAGAAATGGGGCAAAAAATGGGGCAAAATTCACTTAACAAATGTCTCACTTAGCAACAGAAATGCTGGGCTCAATTGTGGTCGTAAGTTGAGGACTACCTGTATCCTGTTTACATTGTACACAAAGTCAAAATCAAGTTGCCCACATGATACCTTAATCTGACTAGTCACTTACGGCAGTGGCCCCCAACCTTTTTTGTGCCACGGCCCGGTACTGGCATCACAAAATGATCAGCGGCCCGGTACCGGCATCAGCATGCATGACAAGGCAAGGCGAGCCGAGTGACCGGCCAGCCAGACATCCCCCGCTTCTCCCCGCCACCTTCAACTCCTCCTTTGTACCTTTTTTGTGCTTTTTTGTGCTTTCTTAATCTCCTCTGCCATCGGGACGGCTCTTCGTTCGAAGCCGCCGCCCCCCTTCGATGAAACTAAGGCGATTCCTTCTGGACCCAAACGCCGCTTTCCAACCGGAAAAGCTCGCCCGGAAGCACTTTCTCGTCGAAACAAGATGGCGGCGCCCAGCAAACCGGTGGCCCGGTAGAAAATGATCCACGGACCGGTACCAGTCCGGGGCCCGGTGGTTGGGGACCCCTGACTTACGGTATATGGGAAGTAGGCCAGGGGTCTCTAACCTTGGCAACTTTAACACTTGTGGACTTCTTTGCTGGCTGAGGAATTCTGGGGGTTGAAGTCCACAAGTCTTAAAGTTGCCAAGGTTGGAGACCCCCGAACTAGGCCACTGTTTTGAATACATTCTGCCAAAGGGACAGCTTTGTTACCTGCAAAAGATTCACAGCCAGCCATCTGTTGACGGTGAAGACGGTCACTTCTATCATAGCCATCCAGATCAACTGCATGAGATTGGCTTTGCCAAGTATTGCTCCTGTTGAAATCAACACTGTGGTGATGCTCATAATGGCAGTTAAAATGCTGGTGGGAAGAAAGAAAGAGAAAGAAGGGGGGGAAATCAGCAGGATGTTATGAGATGGTGAGATTCTTTTCCAATCAGATCTAGATAGTTTTCTGCTTTCCCTACGGTGGTTTTCTCAATGAGTGTCCATGGTGAGTGCCTTTCAGGCAATATTTCTCAACCTGGGCACCATTAACCCGCGTGGACTTCAATTCCCAGAATTCCCCAGCCAGGGGAATTCTGGGAGTTGAAGTCCAGCTTAAAAGTGCCGAGATTGAGAAACACTGCCTTAATGTAACATGTTCCCTTAGAAGTGTATTTACAGAATTAAGAGCCCTAATAACATAAGTGTTACATAGATTGCAAACCTGTGAATAAACCTGTAACCACAATAAATCAATAAGTCGCTATATTGGTGTAACGAATGTCACAGTGCCCCTGATCAATCAGAACACTTATTTTCAAAAATGACTGCCCAATTGAAGCAAAAAAAAAAATGTTTGCAAACACTGCTAAGTCGGGTGTAAAAAAGAATTTTGGATTTGGAGGAATATTGTTCCCTCAAAGTTAGGGGGAAATGTTTAAAATAGCTTAGCTAAGTACACTCTCACCCATCATTGCCCCAATCCAGAGGTGGTATATTCAGCAGGTTCTGACCAGTTCTGGAGAACCGGTAGCGGACATTTTGAGTAGTTTGGAGAACTGGCCAAAATCGCCTCTGACTGGGCCCTCCCCCATCGATTCTCCATCTCCCAAGTCCCAGCTGATTGGCTGGGTCTTCTCTGGTTTCCCTGCACAGGAGAACGGAGCTGGAAAGCAGGTTAGTGGGGTGGGGAGGGAATGGTGATTTTGCAGTATCCTTTCCCTGGAGTGGGGACTTGCAGTGGTGGGGTTCAATTTTTTTTACTACCGGTTCTGTGGGGGTGGCTTGGTGGGTGTGGCAGGGGAAGGATACTGTAAAATCTCCAGTCAGAGGTGGTATTTGCCAGTTCTCTGAACTACTCAAAATTTCCACTGGTCAAAACCTGCTGAATACCACCTCTAGTGGGGAGGGAATGGAGATTTTACAGTAACCTTCCCCTGCCACGCCCACCAAGCCATGCCCACCAAGCCACGCTACACCCACCAAGCACGCCACACCCACAGAACTGGTAGTAAAAAATTTCGAATCCCTCCACTGCCCCAATCCACAAGCAGCCCTCATCATCTCATTCTATATCTTACATTTGGTTCTTGACCATGAAAGAGATCATTTTGTCTTATGAGGCCTAAGATGAGATCATTAAACGGGGGGAAAAAGAACAGTTTATAGGCATTGTTGGTATTGTTTTGAACAGAGAGGAATTTGACTCTTTTTTTTTTACAAGCGTCAAAAAAGGGTTTATGGTACTGATGAGAGGCAAATAGTAGGAGATGCCTTCACGGTGATGTGCACATACATTAATCCGTTCACCCGCACATTCTGGGGCAAATGCATGAGTGTAATCTATCAGGGAAGAAGATGGAGTGCCTCATTAAAAGGGAGACAGGGTCATTAATTTTGCAATCATAAATAATATGGGCACCTGTGCAAAGCTAATATTTAATCAAACCTATTGCCTCTTGGGTTCAACGGTTTGGAAGGAAGCCATCCTTTGGAGGTGGGGAAAACAGTGATGATGGCCTTTGCAGAGGGGCAATTAAAGGCACAGGAACTCATGGTGACAGTGCACAGTGGGCGTCTTCTACCCAGGGATGTCCACGGGGAGGGGGTCAAAAAGCAAGATGGGGGCTTCAGCCGTGCAACTGAAACCCACTCCCCTTTTATAGGCATAGAAGGAGGGCTATGGATGTAAAAGGGAGCAGGGCTTCAATCACGTGGTTGTGGCTATGATCCTTTTTCGACCCTCTCCTTTGGACCTCCTGTTTCTCCCACCAACCTGACATCACTAACATCTCAGTTCATCTCAAAAGTCCAGCCAGGATGCTCTGGGTCTCCTTGGTCTATAAAGTAAAGGTAAAGGATTTCCCTGCTCAGTCAGGTCCGATTCTAGAGGGCAGTGCTCATCTGTTTCTTATCTAAGAGAGCCAACGTTGTCCAAAAACATTTCCATAGTCATGTGGCCAGCATGACTGTACCAGTGGTAGGATTCAATTTTTTTTACTACTGGTTCTGTGGGTGTGGCTTAGTGGGCGTGGCGTGGCTTGGTGGGCGTGGCTTGGTGGGCGTGGCAGGGGAAGGATACTGTAAAATCTCCATTCCCTCCCCACTCCTGGGGGAAGGTTACTGCAAAATCCCATTCCCTCCCCACCCCACTAACCTGCTTTCCAGCTCCGTTCTCCTGTGTAGGGCAACAAAAGAAGACCCAGCCAATCAGCTGGGATTCAGGAGGCAGAGAATAGATGAGGGCGGGGCCAGTCAGAGGTGGTACTTGCCGGTTCTTCGAACTACTCCAAATTTCCACTACCGGTTCTCCAGAACTGATCAGAATCTGCTGAATACCACCTCTGGACTCTATGCCGAGGCACATGGAACGCTGTTACTTTCCCACCAAAGTGGTACCTATTTACCTACTTGCATTTGTATGCTATCAAACTGCTAGGTACACAGGAGCTGGGCCAAGTAACTGGAGCTCACCTCATCGTGCAGCGTTCTCGGGTCTCAAACCTAGGCTGTCAGTTTTCCAGCTGGCCTGTATTCCTCCAGGTTTCCTTGATCTGTATTGATCCATAAATTCATTCTGTCTCTCTATCCCTCGTTTTTTTTAACCCCTCTTAAAATGTGCACTTTTGCAGGAAGCTTGAAATGTATTTATAGCTTAACACACGTCTTTAAACACGTTGTGCTGAGTCTCTTCAGAGCTGATAACTAAGAAAATGGACAGTTTGAGAAGAAATAAAAGATAAGAGCTTGCTAAATACTGATCTTTACCTATCAGGATTCTGCAAGTTCAAATCTCCAATTGAGAATCACTGAATGCTGAAGCCTTCTATCTCTTCCCGCTAATCCCGCTGCAATTTTAAACTCAACAGAAGTCCCACTGATCTGAAGGGGGGGCTTATATTCGGAACAATTAGGTTGTTTAGACATTCTTAAAGATCTAACTGTAACTGAGGCCACGCTCATCCTGCTGTTATGTAAGATCCCACCTAGCCTTGTTGCCGCTGCTACATCTTTCCCCAAATTTGGAAATATTCTGTTTATTTTAGAAATGTGACTCAGTGAAACATGGGGGAGAATGCAGACGTGCTCAGTCTGTGATGTAATGTTTTCAAACAAAAGCACAACAACATATTTGCTCAATATAAAAGATTAACCGAAGTTAGCATTCCTCTGTACACAATAACTTTAATGTCTACAATTAAATTCCATGTTTACTGTGAATACATTGGTGTGTTAACTTGGATGCCGGTCGTTATTCTTTAAAAATATCCTTGCCAGATTCTTTTATAGAAGATACTAAAGCTTAGCACTGTATTTGTCAAGATCAAGTTCTCTAAGAATCAGAACCAATTAATTTCCTAAGATTATTCTCTAGACTGACTGGCTCCTTTGCTTCTCTGTAACTCAACCCTTGGAGGTATTCTTCAGGGATGACCACAAGGGAAGAAGCGGGCAGGTTCCAAAAAAAAGTCAAGTTGGTGACAGGCAGGCAGGGCTTGATTGCATGATTGTGGCCACCATCTGGATTATTTTTTTTAAGCTCCCACAAACACCTTCCCTGGGAGATGAATCAGAGCAAATCTGTTTCCTTACTCAAGCTTTTGAGGACAGCAAATGGCTTGGAAGAAACCAAAGACATCGAATCAAAGTCCCTCCAATACCATCCTCAGTTCTGTATCTGTGTTAAGCATTTCAGACTCAATCCTTGATCACGGTTACATTCACTATCTGCGATGGGATGTAATCCAGAGTCCCAGGAGGGAGGGGATCTTTCTAGAGAGCCAAGAGACAGTGGACCTTGGAATACCTGACCATCAAGGAGGGGGTGAAGACAGACCCTCCCTGGCAATTCACAGAGGTGGTATATTCAGCAGGTTCTGATCAGTTCTGGAGAATTGGTAATGGAAATTTTGAGTAGTTCAGAGAACCATCAAATCCCACCTCTGACTGGCCCCGCCAATCCCATCTCTTCTCCGCCTCCCATTGAGTCCCAGCTGATTGGCTGGGTCTTCTTTGGTTGCCCTGCATAGGAGAACGGAGCTGGAAAGCAGGTTAGTGGGGTGGGGAGGGAATGGGGATTTTACAATATCCTTCCCCTGCCACGCCCATCAAGCCACGCCACACCATGCCCACCAAGCCACGCCACACCTACCAAGCCATGCCCGCAGAACCCGTAGTAAAAATTTTTGAATCCCACCACTGAACGTCTATTGGTTATGCAGATAGTTGCTTCCACCTGGCAAGATTTCTGTTAAGCAAGGAACCAAGAATGACACTTGGAGTTACTTCTCTGCAGTTTCTTGTGTTCACCTATCGAAGGAAATCTTGCCGCCCTAAAGCAACTATCTGCATAGCTATCAGATGAACTCTTTGTGAGTTGTTAGGGAGGTTTCTGCCTTCACCCCCTTCCTGCCTGCCAGACATTGCAAACTTCACTGTCTCTCTGCCCTCTGGGACAGGACCCTCCTCTCCTGCGATTCTGGACTAACATTCTACCACACCATTCTTATAACACTGAGCTTTCCTGCCACCCAACCCAGGAGCATCCAAAAGATATGAGGAAGGAAAAATCAAGATAATGGCTACAACGGTGAGATTGGAGCTCTGCCTGTTTTTTTTTTTTTTTTAATGTACATTACACATAACAAACAGGTGGAGCTTTGATTGCACTGTTGCAGCCATTTTTTAACCCCCACACTTTTTCTTTTTTCTTTTTAACTATTATTCCCTGCAGACAATGATCAAGAGCAGGAAACCTGCTGGAATTCTCACCTATTGGAACTGGCTCAGCTGCAGAACGTAGAAAGCAATGCACAAGGTATATTCTCCAGACCTGAGCAGCCTGTGGGAAGTTCCCATTGAAATCACTGGTTTTTTTTAAATTAAGAGTTTTATCTTGCTTTTATAGGTAACTCGAGGCAGTGAGCGTACCCAATGCTCCTTTCTCCCATTTCCCCTTAACCCTATGAGATGAAGTGGACAGAATTCCTAGCAGAAAACCAAAGCTCCATGCCCTTTGACCTCTACCTTTGCAGATTTATCCTTATTTTCCCAGCGGAGAAGTGAAAAAGGAATCCATCGACAATCACTGCCCACTGTACTCCAAGGGCAGCAAGGAGAAGGTTGAATCCGATGCTGCTGAAGCCGTATCTGTGCAGGAAGGCCAGAAAATAGGCGAACCCAAAAATCACCATGAGGTTGACATCTTGAAATGCTGTAGGGAAGACAGAACACTTGTGTCAAGGAGGCCTGGTGGGGAGCCTCATCCAGGAGACCCAGCTCTTAATCACCACATCGTACTGAATCTTAATGAGGTTTGTTTGGTTTCAACTCAGCTTGCTGTGTAATCCTAGCCATAGTGGTTTATTCATAAATCATGGTTTAGAGCAGAAGTGGGGAAAGTTGAACTTCAACTCCCAGAATTCCTGAGCCAGCCAAGTTGTAAAGAGGCCATTTACAACTTGGCTGGCTCAGGAATTCTGGGAGTTGAAGTTCACAGGTCGTAAAGGGTCCATCATTCCCCACTTCAGCTGAGAGGGACGCATCAATCTAATCACTGATTGGTGCTATCTGACAATTGGATCTTAAACCAAAGGACACATGGACTTCCAAGTTTTGGATCCTAGGCGCCCCATATAACAGGTAGAAAGGGCCTCCCTATGCACATATATGTTCAGGAAAGACAAGGAACCTACTGCTCTCTGTCCTTTATATGTATGCACATATTTATAAATACATACACATCACTCACTCCCATACCACCTTCTTCGTTCAAAAAAGAAGGCTCTGTGCTATAAGCCATAATGTGTTATAACCATGATTCATGGAGATCATAGTGGCCCAATTTGCATACGCTGCTAAGTCATAAAGCATGGTTCTCAAACTGCAATGGGAGATTTCAAAACTTCCAGTGTTTGCTTAACTTTAGCAACTTCTAGATATCTGAACTTTTATTTATTTAAAACATTTATATAGCCGCCCATCTGATAACTAACTTCTTAACAAGGAGTTGAAAAGGTAATTCTGGGTGAAGAGCAGAGGTGGTATTCAGCAGGTTCTGACCAGTTCTGGAGAACTGATAGTGGAAATTTTGAGTAGTTCGGAGAACCAGCAAATCCCACCTCTGACTGGAGATTTTACAGTATCCTTCCCCTGCCACGCTCACCAAGCCAGGCCCACAGAACCGGTAGTGAAAAAAATTTGAATCCCATCACTGGTGGAGGGATCCAGGTGTTTGGAAGTTGCCAAGAATGGGAAATTTAATCAAAAACCAGACAAAATCATATCATGACTTATCAAAGTGAGTGAACTCAGCTGCAATATATGTAGGCTTGCTTCCCCCAGTAAAATCACCCAGTGCTATCCATCAAATGGCTTTTGCTAAGTATCACTTTTATGGAAAGAGTAAAGATGAGCCTCTCTACAAGTTGTCTTCCCCAGAAATGCTGCTGCTACTACTATTACTACTGCTGCTATTACTATGGAGAATCTCCATAGGCATTTACTACTGAAAGTAGTCCTCAACCTATGACCACAATTGAGCACAAAATTTATGATAAATGAGAAAGTTGTTAAGTGAGTTTTGCTCCATTTTACAAAATTTTCTTGCCACATTTGTTAAGTGAATCACTGCAGCTGTTAAATTAGTAACACCGTTGTTAAATGAATTTGACTTTCCCATTGACTTTGCTTGTCAGAAGGTCGCAAAAGGTGATCACACAACCCTGGGAAATACTGCAACTGTCATAAATATGAACCAGTTATCAAGCATCTGAATGTAAATCACATGACCATGGATTTGCTGCAATGGTCATAAGTGTGAAAAATGGTCACACGTTATTTTTTTTCAGTGCCGTTGTAATTTCAAATGGTCAGTAAACAAACTGTTGTAAGTTGAGGACTACCTGCACTATCCCAAAGGATCAGAGGGTCTTCAGAGCTGAAGAAGCTTCTTGGATGAGAAGCGAAACGTCTTCAAAGAAAAACCAGAAAGTCCAACTGCCCCTTGAAAAATCACTTTTGGGTCAACCATGACCTGGATGACTGAGAATCTCCATAGATATACAATGATATACTATCATTGTCTGAAATCATTATTTTACTGTAATTAGTTCCAGATCTGAGTTGCAAGGTAACAGAAAGCCAATAGATGGCAGCAAAGCATTAAGAGGATTTGCTGCCATCTGATGACTATTGGGATATTTGCTGTCCAGCTGTAATTTCATTCAAATTGTCGTACATCCCTTATATATTTATTTCTCACAGGTCTTTTTGTGCTGCTGTATTTCAAAGCAGCTCCATTCGAACAAGCAAGTTTTTCTGAGCCTGGAGGCATTGTATCTGGCTCCTTCTTTCCAATGACCTGATGTTAAAACCACTAGTTCTCCTTTAGCAACAGTTAATTTTGTCACATCAGAAGCTTCCTAATCTTGAGTGGAGTTTTTGGGGTCTTTAGCTCAGTCACAGGTAGGGAGTTGAATCTGGGAATTTTGAATGGAAAAAATGTGCCAGGATGCTAAGCATCATTTTGACATTTTTGATCACACAACAGACGCCCCTAAAGGTACTTTATGCTCCGGATCTAAACTCTACCATGTTAACTAAGCGCAAGAGAAAATGCTTTAACACAACCTGACTACTGAGCCCTACAAAACTCCTTTCAGGCCAAGGATTGTATTTGACTTTAAATAGCAGACAGGACACAGAATAAGAACCAAAACTAGATAACAGTTGAAGTAAATACAGTTCAATTAATTCTAGTTAGGTCTGATGGTGAAGGCACCAGACCAGAAACCAGGAGATTGTGAGTTCTAGTACAGGATTAGGCATGAAAGCCAGTTGAATGCCTTTGGGCCAGTTCTTCTCTCTCAGCCCAACCGACCTCACAGGGTTGTTGTAGAGGGGAAAATAGGAGGAGGAAGGAGTATTAAGTATGTCTGTTATTTTGAAGTACTCATTAAAAAAAAACAAAGATGAGATATAAGTAAATAGTAATTTCACCCTTCATTTTAAAAAGTAGAATCTGTCAGCAATTTGGCAAAAGGTTGGGGTGGGGCCAAATCTGAAGTTTTGGGGGAGCAGAGGCTATCCTCAAATTTGGACCATGCATCTCTAGATTGTGCTCTTCAGGGACTCAACTATGCATCTCCTTCAATTTTACCTAAAGAGGAAGGAGATGTCCCAAAGGTGCTTTTTCAGGAGGCAACTGGACTTTTTTTTTTTTGAAGACGTTTTGCTTCTCATCCAAGAAGCTTCTTCAGCTCTGACAGGATAGTGGGGAATGGAAGGATCCGGAAGGAAACATCTTCAAAAGGAAAAACAAAGTCCAGTTGCTTCCTGAAAAAGCATCTTGGGGACAACTATGACCTGGATGACAGAGAATCTCTACAGACATGAAGGAAATGTGTACTATATCTGTTTCATTATACCAGAGGTCTCCAAACTTGGCTACTTAAAGACTTGTGGACTTCAACTCCCAGCATAACTGGCTGAGGAATTCTGGGAGTTGAAGTCCACAAGTCTTAAAGTTGCCAAGTTTGGGGACCCCTGCACTATACCCTCTCCTCCCAACTGGGGCTGTACCCAATTGACAGTTTTGAATTCCTCACAGCTGAGAAGCTGCAATACGCAACACAACTGGCAGAGCCTTTCTGGAGAAGGAACTTCCCTGTGGTACCAGCCTTTACTTAACCTTCCAATGCCACAGAAGACAAGTCTTCAATCCCGACAGCAAGCCACCTTACCTGGGTAGTCTCTGGCAAGATTTTGACTGTGGTCATAAGAAACGAAGAAGCCAAATATAAGGATTAAAGCAGCTTCCAAAAGAAGAAGGAGCGCGGGGAGACGAATGCGGAGATTGGGAAGATACTGAGAAGACATCGTGGCTTAAAAGAAAGGCAGCCGAACAAGGACCAGGCAAGCGTGAATACAGCCCCTTGGGTCCAAACATTCTATGAGTCTCCACTGAAAAAGAAAAAAGAAAGAAAAGAGAAAGTTGTGAAGGAGATAAGAGTTCTTAGAAGGAATTAGCAAAGCACATAACCCTTATCTAAGACAGGCCAGGGGACTGCCTGACCTGTGCTGACAGATGCTTGATTAGTATTGAGCAAGCTGATTGTCTGCAACCATAAGAGTCATACCGTGTACTATTGAAAACCTCCCAGAAGTAGACACTTGCATGTTTTCATCAACTTTGCAAGCCTGACATAAGGTGCACTTATTTGAACTCAGAGGAGACAAGCAGGACCATGCTGTAATTGCATGTTCCTGGCTAATTCCTCCCAGGAACAACAGCAAAGTTCCAAATTTATGTGCGTTTAAGCAGGTCTCATCTAACCAAGAAGAACTCAGCAAGTAGCTATGGATAGTTTTCTTTTTCCAACCTATATACAGATAGTCCTTGACTTACAACAGTGCATTTAGTGACCGTTCGAAGTTGTAACAGCACTGAAAAAAGTGACATGACTGGTTTTCACAGTTATGACTTTTTGATCATGTGATCAAAATTCAGATGTTTGGCAACTGGTTCATGTTTACGATGGTTTCAGTGTCTCGGGGTCAAGTGATCCCCTTTTGTGAACTTCTGACAAGTAAAGTCAATGGGGAAGCTAGATTCACTTAACAACCGGGTTACTAACATCAACTGCAGTGATTCACTTAACAACTGAGACAAGCAAGGTTGTAAAATGGGGTAAAACTCACTTGACAAATGTCTCGCTTAGCAACAGAAATTTTGGGCTCAATTGTGGTTGTAAGTTGAGGACTACCTATGCAAGTGGTATGAGCCAATCATTACAAATTACTATGGACTTGCATAAATTCTAGTTACAGATAGTCGTTTAGTGACCAGTTAAGGTTGGCAAGCTGGTTGTTAAGCAAGTAAGTCATTATACAAAACCACAACTGTGCTCACAGTGCTATTTTAGCTTTATTTTGCTTTACAGACTTGCAAGGTATAAACATGAAGATTGGTCCCAAGGTTACTTTTTCATCAACATTGTAACTGCAAATGATCACCTGTAGTGCATTTTTCAACTTAAGGGCACTCTTCTGCCCTTCTTTTAACTAGCCTTTACTTGGCTCTTGAACTAGCTTTGTTGACAGGCTTCAAGCAATCTAAAATAAAGCCAGTGGAATGGTAGCAGTAGCCAAGGGGGAAAAAATCCACAAGATGAAAGACATCATTGCAGAAAATCATACAGTTCATCTTCCTTGGATCAAAAACCTTTATTATTGACTACAAGTCTTTTTCATACTCAGTTTCTGCAAAGTTAATTCTTTCAGTGATGATAATCAGTTTACATCTGTTATGTCCTCATATATGGGGGTTTCCTCATAGATTACACTCATATTTTACTCTTTCATGATGGAGTAGGCTCAGAGTAACATTCTCACCATGCTTACTTGTAGCTTTTGGTTGCAGCATCAGGGAAAAGCCATTATGTCCTTTTCTGCATGAGCAACCAGTCCCTGGAACTCTAATTTGGAACTCTAGTTTGAGTTTCTTCCTTTGAAATCTTTCAGCCTCCCACAAGCCCCTTTCTATGTTGGTTTATTGGATTGTTTCTGCAGTATATTTCATAAGCCACTTTATTTATTTAGCTGTAAATGCGAAACAATGCCTTGCTTTTTCATAGCCAGTGTATTTTTCTTAACTCCATCCCAATCCTATAAAGGTTGACTCAGAAATAAACCCCACAAGCAGATAAACTTTTTTTTCCCCCCAGGAGTAAACGTCTGAGTAACAAATACGTTTAAACTAAGAGAACTCCTTCTCTCAAACCTGATCCAACTTAGTTCCCAATAAACAGTCCAGGATGAGGGAAGATAAATGCGTATTTTGAAAAAGAGGAATATTATTATGTGAACATCAAAGGAATGGCAAAATCTGAGAGGTAAGCAAACCTCCTCCAGTTTACAATGTCCAGCCACCTTAACAAAAGGCTACAGAGGGGGAACTGTCACCCCCATTGGCCAAGACTCGATTTCCCAGGGCACTTTGCACGGTTATTAGCCTAGTCCCACTTAGCCCAGAACTCTATTGGTGGTCTTCAGTGCCCTTTCTATCGAGCGCCATTTTTATTGGCTCAATACATCATCACTTTTGTAAGTGGGAGGATCCGTCCGCGGGCCTGTTTTAGAAAGTAGCGGGAGCGTTATTCTTTGCCTCTTCTTATCTTCGGGCCACGGATGACGGGAGGAGTGTATTGGTCAGCATTTACGTCAATTAATCGTAGAGGGCCGTACCCTAATACCAAACCAAAGATTGAGATCAAAGAGAAGGGGGGGGGGAAAACCCACCTTTCTTTCTCTCCCATTGGGAAATATTGAGACTGCCCCGCCCCTCTACTCTAACTCCGCCCCAGGATTCAATCCTTTCTGTCACGGACTTTCAGGCCGGTGGTTCGCGCGACTGGGCGGTCCTTGTTATCTTAGGAAAGGACGGTCGGTCTTTGCCGCTCCGCTTGATTGGCCAGCTCGCCCGTCTCTCTTCTCCCTCGCCCCGCGCTGATTGATTCTTCCCAGCATCGCCCTCATGTTTGGCCCGCAGCGGATTGGCCTGGGCTTGAAAGGAGGCGGGGCGAGGCGTGGAGCCTGCGCGCGGGGCCGCGGCGGCGGGGAGGGACGGATCTGAAATTATTTTTTATTTCTTTGTTTCCGAGAGGGGAAAAAGAGGGGAGGGAGGAAGGGGCGGGGAGACAGTGCGCCGGAGCACCAAACGGGAGTGGGAGACTTTCCGGGCCTCCGCGCGGACCGACGCGCTCGGATGTTGTCGCCGTGACCCGGGCGGGGCAGGAGGAGCAGCCGCCGCCGCCGCCGCCGCCGCCGCCGCCGCCAGCAGGCCAGGTTGGGACCCCCCCGAGCCGGGCGGGAGGATGAAGCGCCGGAGCGCCGACTGCAGCAAACTCCGGCGGCCGCTGAAGCGGAACCGCATCACGGAGGGCATCTACGGCAGGTAGGGCCGCACCTGCCTCGCCCGCCGGCCCCGCCCCGGCCTGTCAGAGGCGCCGAGGAGCCGCCCCGTCCCCGTCCCGGCCGACGCGTTCCCCTCAGGCGGGGCTGGACCCCGCTGCTGCCCCCGGGCCTGCCGCCGCCCTCCCCGACTCCCCTCAGGCCGCCGCCGGGCTCTCCTCAGACCCTTTCCCAAAAGCCCCGGCGGCTCCCTGGATTCATGGCGCGCTCGGAGCCGCCTCCCCGACCCGCCGGGCTTCCCTTCCAGCCGGCGTCGCCTTCAGAAGCGCTGAGGCGCCTTTCCCATCGTCCCCAGCCGGCCCAGAGGGTCGTTTCGGCGGCCTCAACACCCACCCACCCCCGGGCCTCTTCATAAGAAAGGGAGAGAAGCATGGGAGTTGTCGTGCAGCCTGCTTGCGGGACACCAGCTTGGGGGGGGGTGGCTGTCCCCCACTAACTTCCCCTTCCCCCCCAGTGCCAAAGTTTCTGGAAAGGGGCCTTGAGGGGGGGGGGAGAGAAGGGGCTTCTTTCGGTTTTCCTTTCCAAACTCCCGTCTGCTCCCAGCAAGGCGTCCCTCCTCTGGCTTTCAGGGCTGCAGCTGGCCTGATCCACAGGAATGCTGGCTTGGTGGGATTGGTTTTGTAGTCCTGTACCTCTGGAGAGCACCTGAGTGGGTGGGTGGGTGGGTGGGGGATAATAGCTGGTCTGGAGGGAATAAGATGTTTGTGACCCACCTTGGATAAAGCGGCAAAGCAGCGTTTTAGGTCAGAAGTCCCTTTCGCACATAACTGTCCGTTCAGGTTTTAAACCCCTTTTTTAGGGGGAGGTTCTTCTCTACCTTACAAGCTACTTTAAGCCACAATTCTGAGAGCAGCTTTTTAAAGAGTCTTCCGTGAACAGTGTGGACATAAATTCTTTTCCTAAAGCCCCATTTCTGCCTCCCCTGTATATATTCACGCTTGGACACCTGCACCCAATCCTGGGTCTACTGCTCCCGTAGTTCTTGTATTCTTCAGTGTTTCTCAACCTTGGCAACTTTTTAAGGTGTGTGGGATTCCAACTCCCCAAATTCCCCAGCCAAGGCTGGGGAATTCTGAGAGTTGAAATGAACCTAGCTTAAAGTTGGCCAGGTTGAGAAACACTACTTTAACGGTAGAAGACAAGTAACTTGTGATCTTCTGCAAGACTCTTGTGTGAAGTCATTCCTTTCCTGTGGTTGGTCCTCTGTCTAGTTACACCACACCTACCCCGGGAATCTTGCCCTGAGAGCCTGTTTTTCCTCTAGAATAGCCTTCCCTAATAGTGATGTCCCACATGGTTATAGTCCATCGTTGCTTAGGCCTCATCAGATTGTTCTGGTGCTCTCAAATCTATGTTGTAAGCTTTCTGTGTTGTAAGCTGCCCAGAATCGTTAGGTACGAGATGGGGCAGCAAATGAATTTTATAAATAAACAAACTCTACCAATCCAACAATTCAAGGAGAGAAGCAACTTAGAAATAAGGAGAAATTTCCTGATAGTTGGAACAATTAATCGGTGGAACAATTTGCCTCCAGAGCTTGTGGATGCTCCAACACTGGAAGTTTTTAAGAAGAGATTGGACAACCATTTGTCTGAAGTGGTATTGGGCTTCCTGCCTAAACAGGGGGTTGGACTAGAAAACCTCCAAGGTCCCTTCCAACTCTGTTATTCTATTCTATTCTTACAATTAGAAGCCATCTATAATTTCCCTCTCATAAAGAACATTTTCTAGAATCCCCCATATTACTTTTAGATTCTTCTCAACTATTCCATTTGGCAGCTTTTTAAGGAATTATTTTGCTTTCCTACTCATTTATTCATAACATCATCCAGTGAAACAGCCACCTCTTGAAAGGATGAACAAGAGAGAGCGGTAACTTTGGCCAATACTCTTGGCTCCCTTGGCTAGAAACCATAGCTTCTCTTGACCTCAAATCCAGAGGACACTTGTTTTCTTGCTTCTGCTCTCCATTGACAGAGTT